CAACTTTCTACTGTACTATACTATATATTTTCCTTTGAATCAACATGTTTTCAAACCACCTATTAATGGGGGTTATGTAAGATGACCAGACCAGCCTTCTGAGATGGTCTTATTTTGGGGTTTGAATTTATCTTAATATTTAATACTCTCCTCCTCTGCCCCTTCGGTGCTCTTTGTAGAAATCAGTGTTTCTTAATTCTAGTTGGTAATGAAAAAAACTCCAGACTACTGCTGGGTTTGCACACAGATATATGTCCATTTCTGTCCAAATCCCAAGTGTGGTTGTGTCACGTGGTTTTATGCTGACCAAAGTTCCTCTTAAATTCCTCTGATGTAAGGGAGGAGAACAGGGGATTCTTCTGTTGTGAGTCATCTTGTATCAGAGCTTGATCATGCTTCTACTGATGTCAGCAGGAGTTTTTCTGTTGCGTTTATTGATTGAATGGTTTTTCAGTGTTATAGAGAGCTACTGGTTTAAATTTGAAGTCATCCTAACAGCTGTGGATGGCATCTCGCGTGCCTTGTACCTGTTAAGGAAAAAGGTCACCCATTTACTTTGTCCCTACTGAGTCAAAAGCATCACTAAAATACCCTGTAAGATCATTCAGTAACTACTTTCCTAGATAATATTTGTTAGCCATACATTTAAAACGCTGTTCATTGCAAATCACCCTTTAACATACAGTCTTAAAAAAAAAAATATGGAGAGGAGAATGAAAGAACCCTCCCTAGGTACTGTTTGCCTGTGTGTGTGCCTGAAATGCTTTATTGTGGCTGTTCTAGAAGAAAATTATGAACTCAGAGGCAAAACTTTGCATAGAAATGAACGTTGCCAAGGTAAAAATCTGTTTTGTACCATGTTAGAATCCATAACTTCTCACTAACTACTTTTCAGTTGATAGAAGAAAAATTAAAAAAATCAAAACGTGTTTAAGGGAATCGGGTCATGCTCTAACAAGGGACATCTGTTTCTTGTACTTTGCTGCAGATCTTGTGAGATTTGGAAGTTTTTAATTGTTTTTAACACAGCTGCTTTCACTGGAATATTAAAAAGGGAGAGAGTTGCGTTACTCTTGACAGATCAGTCCTGTATTATGTCTGCCTGCTTGGATCTCAGTTGCCTGAGGTAGTACCTGAGCTGGGAAAAATTATGTTAAAAAACTTGGGAATGGACTCCAGCCTCTCTTGGCATATCCAGGACTCACAGGTGAAAGCTGCAGCATGTGGAAGTGGCAACCTTGACTGTCTGCAGCTTCTCTTCTAAAAACACTGTGACTCCTCCAAAGCATGTCGGGGCCCCTGTGTCCAATGGGAATTCCAGCTCTGTTGGCTGTTCAGCTGAAGCTTTTTTAGTTGGTTTGCTGTGATCAAATCACTTGAGGACATTTGGTCTCAGGAGGTGGAGATTTGTACATGGGAGACTGAACTGAGCTGTTGGAATGTATTGCACATTATCCACCAGATGCTTTTCAGCCCTTTGATTTGATCTGTGTTTGATAGTGATGAAGATAGGAGAGTCACGTGTTCCTCCAGCATCACTTACATGAGCCGGCGCATCCCGGGTAGCACGGGCTGTGCTTCTGGCAGCAACGACCCCGGCAGAATGCAACCGAGCACCTAGTTCCCTCGGCACTCCTCTCCTTGGGCACCGTTGGTGCAGCACCAGCATCCTCTAGGTCATGCCACTGGCTGGTGTGGATGCAGCAGTCCTGGCTTGTACCGTGCAGTATTTGGTCCAAGCCTCCCTTGGGACACTCTCCTCCTTCCCTCTTTGGAACCAGCACTCTTGCAGAGTTGCAGCAGCCGTTGTAGAAAGAGCGAGGACCGCGTGTGCGCTGCTCTTTGATGCTCGCAGGTACATTGTGACCATCTGGCTGGTTGGCAGGTTGCTCTTCATTTCTTGTAGGAGTCGGCGTGGTCTTAGGAGACAGGGAGCTGGCAGGAGCATCAGCCAGTGGGTCTCTCAGTTTGATTTTTGTTGTTGTTTTGCTGCTTTAAAATCTGAAGATGGGTTTCAGTTAGGCAGCTGCTCTCAGTCACAGTGTTGTTCAAAGTAATTGACTTTCCATTGAGTTTGGAATTTGGAGTAGTGTCTAAATATTGTTGTCAGCTTCATGCTGATTCCTCTTCACTGAGGTTAAAGTTGTTTCGCTTATGACCTCAAGCTGGACTTGTGCTTTGCTCCCATGGGAACTAAAAATAATAATTATTTTAAGAATAGGTTCTTAATCACTTCCTTCTTTTGATGCACTATTTTTGTTTAGCATTTTGTAAGAATGTAATAGAAAATGTTTTAAACTATTTGTGGTTTAATTCCAGTTTTACTTGGATCTTTGAAGATGCAAGAATTAATTACAGTTCCTTTTAGTTATTTTGTAGAAAAGCATTTATTCTTGTTATTCTGAGTGAAGCTTATTAGAGTTTTGTTGCTTTGGTAAACTGTCCAGTCGCACAGAACTATGAAGAGATGAACATTAAGTTGACGGATTTCTTAGTCAAAGGCATGTGCACGTTTTGTCAGTGTTGGTGATGCATCAGCACGTTAATCTTCTGTCTCCAAGCTTAATGTACATGTGAGAAACAGAAGATGTGCTTTAATCTGAGTTTGGAAGGAATGATCAGACAATGTATGCAATGATTTTGAGACAGAGCTGGATGTGCAGTGAACACTGTGAAGGTGATGAGATAGTTTGCAGAGATGGGGAAATATTAAACCGGTGGAGATCCACGGGCTGCCCTGACCCATAGCAGCTGGATAACGGTGACATAAAATGCTTAATCTGAAGATTTTCCATAAACTGAAAGAGTCTTGAAACTTAGAAGTGGCGTTCTGGGAGATGTTTCAGAGTGGCATAGGGGTGTACTAGCACAAAAAAAAAAAAAGCTAGAAAGGCTTTCCTAGACTTCAGTGAGCATCCAAAGTGTGGCTGTACTGAGTGTCTCAGAGCCCAGCCACAGAGAATAACACAAGTACATTAATAATAATTTTTCCTATTCCTTGCTAACAGTTGACATGGTTTACTACTACTTCCAGTCAGTGAAGTCGCTTGCTCCAGCAAGTCTACTTACCTTAGAGGGAGCTGATGTTCTATTTTATGTACCAGATTTTGTTTGTAGTTTTATTTCTTCTCAAGCACCCGAGTCCCAAGGGGCTGCAACTGAGCCTTACAGCATAGCACAGGGGGCTCAGTGTATGCCCGGAACTGGGCATGGACCGTGCTGAGCACAGGACTCACAAGCTGGTCACTTATCTGCTCTCTTGCTGCTCTCAGTTGTCATTTTAATTGTCTTTACACCCACTTCCCTGTGTGTACAAACGCATACAAAAACATAACCCTTGTGGGGTTTTTTCCCCTCCTCTTCTTCTTTAAAAGTAATTTTTTTACTCTTGGGCCTCAGCTCACCTGATGGTGATTTAACCTATTGCTACAGCTGGCCTTAAATTGAGAAAAGTTGAAAGATCGGAGCTGGCTTTTCTTCACCTGTCACTTGGCTGAGGTCTAGTGTTTGTTCATCTGTTCCTGTTGTGGGAATACTGGAGTGGTAACAGCAATTGTGGTGCTAGCAAGGGAGAAAAAAATGATGCGCCAAATACTTGAGGAAAGTGGTAGTTTAATATCCTACTACTGGCACCTCTGGTGTTCTGTCATCTTTTGTGTTGACTGTGAAGACATTTTACTCATTTATAGTATAAAAAGTTTTATTAGAAGTTTTCTTTAAAAAGATCTGCTGTCAGGAGGATTCCCAGACCAAGTAGGAAAGAGGGAACCAGCAGTTCTCCAGCTTCAGGCCTGCCTCTGCATGGCCTTGGGCCAGCCAAGGGAAGTGCCTGGCACTTCTGCAGGATGTATTTCCTATTCTCACTGATTTTAGAGCTTTAAAGGAAGAACAGGGGACTTCAAAAGACCTTAACCTCTTGATATGATGCTTGTAATGCTTCAGGATGAACCTGTTGCCTTTGCATGTGTTGTGGTATCAACTGCAGTTTGTATCGCTGTTCGTGTTGCCGGCCCACTTCAGTTGTAGTGAGGATGCACAAACAGCATAAGCAGACATAAACTAGGAAGACATACGGCTAAAACCAAAAAAATGACAGGGAGAACCTGGGATAGGCACAATACCTGTACTTTAATCTGTGGCTTACAATTTACTACGTTATGAGTATTTCCTACTTCCTCTGCTCCCTCAGTAGTATGGATGAGTGATTCAGAAAGGTGTGTTTTAAGGGCTAGGTAGTTCGTGTTTATACAGTGCTTACTGGAGTCCCTGTTGCTCCTTCCTTTCTCCTTCCATCTCCCTCCCAAGACTGTTCATACATAAGCCATATTTCTCTTTCCAGCCTTCCCCTTCCTTGGGCAAAAGTTACTATTTCTAACCTCTTGGTGATCCTTTGTGCCTGGCTGTGTTTACTGGCATTATAGAATTGATGGGTGATGTTTTTTTCTTGGGCCAAAACTGGCATTTTATTCTTCCTTCCCAGCATAACCAACCTGAAAAATTGAATGGAACTGTAGAAGTGTCACATAGAACTGTAGAAAAGTCAACTTGTGTTGACTTCATTCAGCTCCTCGGCAAAACCCAAGCCAAAACTTTATGTGGCCAAATGTACAAAAACCTCTAGGCCAGGTTTTAGCCTTAATTTGAGCAATCTTTTTCTCAGTTGATGAAAGCTCACAGGTTGGCATTTGAGAAGGTGGGATACTGGAAAGGAGAAAAGTGTGGGTGAAATGAGTTTCAGTTCTGTTGAAGATACTCGTGAAACCAGTTGTGGCAGTTGTTAGCAGCCAGATGAGAACAGGAAGGAGTCTTGAAAATTGGGCTCTTCTCTGGCACCTAGATCAGTAAGCCGTGGACAGTGTATGGCAAAAGTCACTGGCCGGGTGTGGCTGCTTGTACTTTTTTGTTGACACGTTGGAAGTTTTAGGTGGATGATTTGTCTCGAGAGGAGCTGGAAGAGAAAAACTGAAAGCAGAATGATTTGTTGTCTGTTTTGTTTTCAGTGGAAAGCTGGTTTCACCAAAATGGAAAAATTTTAAAGGCTTGAAACTTCAGTGGAGAGATAAAATCCGTCTCAATAACGCCATCTGGAGGGCATGGTATATGCAGTGTAAGTATTGTGCTGGGTTGTGTCACTTGCTATAAAATATCTTCTGAGACATACGTGTAAGAAGCAGGATAATTGAATTTACTGTCTAATAAAAAGCCCAGAAACCTGCTTAAGGCCCAGATGTCTCAGAGGATTCCATGGCAGTGCCACTGGATCAGAGCTTTCTTAGAGATGTCCACACAGGCTGTACTGAGCGTCCAAGCACAGCCTGTGAGATCTCCCCATTTCCTGCTGGTTATCTGGAAGGAACCCTGACTAGATTTGTGGGGTTTTTTTTAACACATCTTGCTGTTGAAGCGACAGAGCTCTCTGCAGAGCCTGCACATGCTGAGCACTTGCATTTTCATTCTTGTTTCAGACCTGGAGAAGCGCAAGAATCCAGTGTGCCACTTTGTGACTCCACTGGACGGCTCTGTTGATGTCGATGAGCATCGTCGGCCAGAGGTACATAAAACCTGAGGAGCAGACTAATGCGCTCTAGAGTTTATAACAAGATTTTCTAGGCCACTAGATGTGAGAGCAGCATAGCAATTCTTTGCTCTGTTGACTTTATTTAGAAGGAACCATTAATATAAAGAAGATTGAACCCATTTTTTATAAGTTAATCACATTCAGATGATCAAGGTGCAACTGGAAGGGTATTTATTATCTATGTAACTTATGTCTATGTTCTGGTTTAGTGAAACATAAGTCATAGAAGTACAATTTGAATAGTTAAGATTTTGACAGCCACTGCTCTTTTCTGGCTGGAGCTTGCTGAAGTCAGTGGGAAATCAGAGTGATGACTGTTTTCAGGATTGAATCTAAGCGACCCTGTGAGAGTTTCTGTATTTTGTATAATTGATGAGGTGTGGTTTCAAGACACAAGCAATTTCTTTTTCTCTGTCAAGGTAACTGCACAAACAGAGCGAATATGAGTTTGCGTACTTTCATTTTTGTGCTCGTGTAAACATAAATGAAAACTAACGTCTGCCCTCTGGCTCCTTGCAGAAAACCAGTGAGGCCCTTGATGTGGCAATATGTGACTCTCTCTATACTGCATAACTCTAGAATAATTTATAACTCAAAGGAATTCCAGATGAGTTTGTGGAACTGTCTCAGGTTTTTGCAAGAACAGTGTTGATGTTTGTGTTAAAAGATGACCCTCGAACACAAGGAAGTTGTGTTAAGGCTCTCATTAGCCTGCTGTCCCCAACTTAAACACTGCTATCTGTGATATGTTAAAGACCCACATTGTTCTGATATTTTTGTTGCTGTTAGTATGTGGCCTGCAGGGTCATGCTTCTCCCTGAACTGGACATCGGATTTTCATTGCTTTGTGTCATTCTTAACAGCCTTTGTGTACATGTGTGCATGTTCATGTAACCTTGTGAAATTCTCTTTGCCTGTTTTCTGCAGAACAGGGTGTTGTATGCTTTATACATTACCTTTTTGTAAATTCTTTTTAAAGGGATTTTTCTTTTTTCTTCCATTTCTTCACTATTGGTTATGGTTGAGCTGACGTGAAAGATGCTGACAGTGCGGTCAGACATCTCTTGTTTGTTTGTTGTGGGAAAGATGAAGTTAGTACTGTCAGATTTGCTCTGTGATAGCTGAACTCTGGGATTGTGGGCTGCTGATACATGAGCTCAAACAGAATTAGCATGCTTTCTTTTGCATTTTTTATGCCTGAATATTTGCTTGGAAATTTATTTGAACATTCAGCCGTTATGTGATTCCGTGTAATTCATGGTATGTGTTTGTGTTTTCAGGCCATTGCAACAGAAGGGAAATACTGGAAACGAAGAATTGAAATAGTCGTCAGGGAATACCACAAGTGGAGAACATACTTCAAGAAAAGGGTGTGTTGGTTTGCACGGTGAAAGTAGCTTACTTGAACTTGATCAGTATGTTGTTGCTTTTTGAGTTTTGATGTCTCTTTTGGTAGCGTGGAAGAATACTTGAAACAGATGATAAGCTAGTACGGGCATGCTCATCTGATTAGTCCCACTTCACTAAAAATTATTGTGCAGGGACTCATTGTGCATGATTGGGTCTTTAAAAGTTTTGCAAAATCCGGTCTTCTACTGGCATATACAGGACATATTCTGACTTTAACATCTGTTTTGTTCTCCTTTTGCAGTTGCAGAAACATAAAGATGAAGATCTTTCAAGTTTGGTCAGGGTAGGTAATACCAGTGATAAGTGGCAGCGTTTATGCTTGTAGAAGCTGCAATACATAACAAAACTGTAACATGCAGTAGCTTGCATTGATTAAAATCTAAAGATAAGCATCTTGCTTAAGCCCTAATTAAGGTTAGACACCTTAATGTTTCTGCACCTTAGAGAGCAATGGAAGATTTGTAGCTTAAATTGGGTGGAGGAGAGGTTGAATGTGAAGTAACTGTGGCAAAAGACATGAGAATCGGTATTGGGTGCCCAGAAAGATCAATCTCTGAGGACTTGACACATTGTTTTGTCTTATTGCTGAGTCGTAACTGGCACTAATGCCTTGCTTGTGGAACTGGATCCGTGAAGATGTGTGTTCTACATGTTGCAGGTCTTCCTGCTGCCCACAACATGAGCAAATAATGAGCCAGCATCCTAAAAAAGGCAAAATGTTTAAAGGAACAATGGCATCACCATTTATTTTGCCCCCTAAAGCCATCAAGCCTACTTTGGGCATATAAACTGATGATCAGAAGCACTGTTCTGATTTTTTTTTTTTGGAGCTAAGTGTAAGTCTGGATCTGTTCCAGTTTCACAAAACTCTCAGCTGTTTTGGCCATGAGCTCCAATGCACCATCATGGTATGTTGGTGTAGTTACAGCTGCATGTTGGCTCAGCCACAAGAACCTGACTGTGTAGTCTTCTAGTCCCCAGCAAATGCAAGACAATGCGATTTAGCTTAGCCTGTAGTGAAGGACAGGTAGGCCAAGTCCCATTATGTTGTATTTTTCTTGGGCTAAAAGTGCCCAGAAGAATATCAGCATAGCTTGTGCAAAATCAGATTACAATTACACTTAAGTATGATTCAGATACACTTCAAGATAGGAGTTGTTTGCTTTGAGTTTTTGTTGTGCACGTTGTTTTTAAATCTTTATTCAAACCAAGGGATTGTTAAACTGTAGGTGCAGAAATATAAGTAAAATCAATGAAACTAGACAGTGTTGATGAAGTTATTTTGCCTTGTATCCTTCTAGTCAACATCTGGGGTTTTTTTAGGCAAAAAACATTCCCAGTATCTTGGTATTCTACTGAAGTTTTCTGTTGTTGCTCAAATCAGTGAGCTGAAGTTGTTTGTGTATTAGAAGTACCACTGATCTGTTTCAGTCTGTTTGCATGGCTCCTAAAGGAGAGTTTCATTCTCTAAAAATGTGAAAAATTAAGGCTGTTTTTCTATATCTGCACCAGATGGCTTCAGCGTTGTCTAGGCAGCCTGACTTTTCTTTCCTTTGGCAGGATGAGGATGTGGTTCTCTGGCAAAAAAGAAGGTATGGCAGAGAAACCCCTGTCCCTATGGAGGAAGGCAGCCTCTTGGATGCAGATATGCTTATGTCTGAGTTCACCGATACGCTGTTCTCCACACTGTCTTCACATCAACTGGTTTCCTGGCCAAATTCCAGGGACATAGGTATTTGTTGGTGTTGCAAGTGGGAACCTCTAGAAGTGTGGTTTGTTGCTTTGCTTCTAGTCTTGCCTAAGAAATTTATCTTACTTTGCTGATACACGTAAAAATACGTCAGGCAGTGTAGCTGTCTTATGCTTTATAGGTTACGGAATCCCAGTTATTCATCCAAATTGAATTTCTGTTCTTAACTTCTTAAGTGCTGCTCCTAGCACTGTCCTTTAATGTTGCTCTGAATAAAACTGTAATGAGCAGTATTTACCTTTATCAGTGGTGAAGGCATTGTTATTTATCTCAAATCATATATTTTTGTGTGTGTATTTTTAAGGGAGTGTCTATGTATTTTTCTTTGGATATATCCCTTAGGACAAGTGCAAGTCACATCTGTAGAAACAATCCCAAGAGCTATACAGTTCTGTCACATGCTCTCTAACTGAAAGCTGTGTCTAATGGGACAGCAGATGTCTGCTGGGCATCATCCTTAGCTTAGACATCCTGTCTGAGCAGCTCCAGAGCAACTGTGGTTTACATGAAGTGTACTTAAGACAAAATAAAATGGATGATGGTTTATTTTAAAATACTGTGCTATGAGCTGTGGTGGTTCAGGTTGTGCTTCCCAGCAGGTTTATGTGTTGTGTAGCAGGAGCAGGACAGGGAGCAGGAGGCATCCAAGCTTGGCAATCTCCAGTTGTTAGTTAGACCCTTCAGGTTTCACCTCTTCCATATTACTAGTTGAAAGTTTAATTCCCCCCAATGGTTTTGATTTCAGAACTGTGCTACAGTTCTGAAGGAAAGCAGATGCTCAGTGCATTTCAGCAGGAGTTTTTCTGTAAATGTCCTGGCCAAGCCTGGCTGTAGAGTGTGTGTTGGAGTTCTGGCCAAATTCTGTATTCCTACTGCTGTTATTGTGCGAGTGGTACGAAGCTAATCTAATCTGTCTCCTGAACTTTGCAGCACACTTAGGAAATGCTGACATGATTCAACCAGGGCTTATTCCTCTCCAGCCAAATTTTGATTTTATGGATACTTTTGAACCTTTTCAGGGTAAGAATCATATATATAGTGTCAATTAATTTATTTAAAATTGCAGTGATCTATGAACTAGTTTTTAAAAGATGGTTAAATGTTGTAGATATCTATTCTCTTTAGAAGGCAGGAGATTTGAGTGAAGAGTGAAGAAGACTATATGTTTTCATTGTTCATTATTTCAAGCAGATGCATATGTGGGTAGACTCCTTTATTACTGTTACCCCAGTTCTTTACTTACCCGGGTTTAGGTAACTTCAGGATTTAAGGATTATTTATTCCAAAGTTTGAACCTGGTTGTTAATTTGCCTTTCAAAAGAATAGCATGTAGACCTTTAGTCACTGAGTAATTAAAGATAGAACATCAGATGTGGACAGAAGAACTCACAGAATCATTGAGGTTTTCATATTTAACACTTCTTAGGGATGAAATTATTTAATACTTTGTCTTGGAACATTTTCTGGTACTCTCAAGAGTTACATATGGCCTTAAACTACTACTGACAGCTTTGATGATTACGGATCTTCATGGAAGTCAAAAGTCACATCTGTTTGCTGGGCCTGCATGCAGTCTGCATCAGATAATCGAATTTTATGGGACTGCATTGGGAATCAGCTCTTGGCTGTCTGCCTGTAGGTGAACCTTAAAATCCCCAAAATCCCCATCTGTGGACTGATTTTTGTATTGTCTTCAGCTTGCATGAAAACTGAAGATGTCTGCCCTGAAGAGGTCAGTTCCTCTGGAAGACAATAATTCATTGCTCAGTCAGCAGCAGTTGTATGAAGCAAAAAATCTCATGGTTTCATTATTTGCTAAATAATATTGATATTCCTGTGAATTTTAGTATCTAGCAATGATGTACCTTGAGTATGAAAAGCAGAAAATTAATAGATGACTTTTCGCATTTCAGATTTATTCACACCCAGTCGTTCCAGTAATTTCCTTTCTGTGTCTGCTGTCAGCTCAGCTACTACAGACAGCAGCAGCCACTCTTCCCAGGTAAGAGAGGTTCTCAGTGTTTAAAACGGCCTCATCTCAGACACGTGAGTGCTGTGAAGACTCTCAGACATGAGCCATGTCCTTCTCAGGAGGAGTTCAGACAGGAGTTTCATGGATCATGTCTGAATCTGTGATATTTTTCTTTTCTGTCAGTCTCCTGTCCTGCCGTCGGGTTCATTGCCCAACACGCTCCCAGCAGGGAACATCAGTGATGAACTGATTGCTTCCTCAGTACCTGCTCCTGTCATTCCTGATGTTGACACTGACCAGTGTTCCAGCATTAGAAGTGAGGGATCTTTCATCCAGCCCACGGACTTCTCTCCCAACTCGCCTCTCAGTGGGCCACAAACTTTTATGCCAGTGTTTCAGACAGCCTTGCCACTGCTTCAGCCTGCAACACAACAGCACCAGTCCTCGTTGCCTGCAGTGCCTCTGAATTCTAGCTTAAGCTCTCCACCAGCTGCATTTGCTGCACCAGAAACCCAGAAGTTTGGCCTCTGTGAATCTACAGTTATCACCCACACGGCTTCTGCTACGTTGACCCACAACGCCCCTGCCACCACCTTCAGCCAGAGCCAGAACCTTGTCCTGGCGACGCAGCAGCCCAGTGCAGGAGTGCCTTGTAACCTGACTTTCCAGACTACTGTCCTGCAGGGCCAGCCCCGGCCCCAGCTGCAGTCCCAACTGACATTTGCACTCCCCATAGCTGTTCCTCTGGCCAGTGCTGGGACAAGGCCCAAACAGTCACAAAAAATAGTGCCTGCTCCGAAGCCTGAAACAGTGTCCTTATTGTTAAAGAATGCCTTCATCACCCCAGGTGAGAAGCACTGGTGGGGTGATGTTTTTCTTTCCTGAGTGGGACTAGCAGGAGGGAGAGACCTTCTTGCTTTTCTTGGTTTACATAATAAGTAAAAATACAGCTTCCTGTGGGTGTCCAAGGAACCCCTGAACCTGCTGGTGTGTGGCTACACTCTTCAATGGGATGCTCTGGACTGCTGCAAGGATTGGAACCGGTTTGGTTGTGGGTGTGAAAATCTGACCTGTGGAAGGGAGTATCTCCTTGTAAAATTTGTCTGGGGCTGTATAGATGCATCGGTGCATAGGATGACTAGAGCTCTGTGCTCCTGCCCCACAGAAACCTGGGGTTTGCTGTTCAGTGCTGTTCTGATTAACTCTGCCCCTCAGAGCATTCAACCACAGTAGAGTAGGAGCTGGCGGGGGGGTAGTGTGGGATGGGGAATGGCAGATCTGTCCCTGTCGTTGCCTCATTTGGTTGCCCTGGACAAGTCACTGTACCTGCCTGTGCCTCTGCTGTACCAGGGTGCTGGTGTACATCCTTTGGTAGTGCTTTGGATGTATCTGACATTTTGTTTTGGCTGTGCCTGAAACTCCGAGACCAGTGTTCACTAGGGAGCAGCTGTTGAAGTGAACCACAGCACCGGTCCAGATGGAAGCATGGGAGTGTGCCTCTCATCCACCATCCCTAGCAGGACCAGGGTGATGAGAATCTGCCCTTCCCCTGGAGAAGAACAGGCAGGGGGAGCTGGAGATCTTTGTCCTGAGCAATCTACAGACTCGAGATGCTGCAAGAGCATGTGGTTTTCAGTTCAGAGCATGAGTGCCTAACTGATATATTGGGATCTCCACATCAGGTCTGATTTGGAGCTACTGGCACTGTGCAAGGCTAAGAATAGCAAACATGAGCAGAGAGAGTTTTACTTATGGTGGTTCTTGTGGGAAAGCTCAAGGCTAGAGCAGGACAGGTAGTACACTTCTCCTTGGGGTTATTGCACACTGTTTTTAGACTTGGGCTGGCTGGGGGCCAAGTGACTTCAGCCACCTGAAATGTGCAACAATAATCCAAGAAAAACCTTGCCTGGAGGACTATTGTTAAACAGGATTTACTAAGGAGTAGGTGTGTCTGCCAGGGCCTGGCATTGTGGTTACCCACCAAGGGAAAAAAAAATAAAATAAAAATCACAGTTCAGAAGTAGAACAGACCCAAGGATCTAATTCTAGCATGTCACTGGGAACAAGTTGGTCCATGATTAATAGCACTAGGGTGTTAATGGCAGTGTTTCTGTCTGTAGTACGTTACAAAGCAAGAGTCCGTGTACCTTCAGCAGTTGAGACATGCATTTCTCACCAAGTAAAGCATTGTAGGCAACTCTGATTTTTCAAAAGCCTTTGTTCCTAGCTTTCTTAGTGCTTCTTGGGTTGTTCCTTACCCCATATATTGCTTTCCCAGTACTTCATCGGACCATCACAACAAATGGCTTTGCTTCTCGTCTAGATTTAAAGTTGCTGTTTTTCATTCCTGGCAGTGCCACGTGTTCAGGGATCACAGTGCTCCTAAACTACTGGAACACCAAGCTCAGAGGTCAAATCCAAAGTTTTATGTAGAGACTGGACCTTAGTTTTGACAACAGAATAAACATCAGTACCTGTAACTAAGGCATTTATGCCTGTCATTTGTGTTCAGGACAAACAAATAACCTCGTGACTATAAACCAAGTTGCGTTATAACCTATGTTAGAAAGGGATGTGTAACATTTATTGCCCTGTGATATAAGGACTCAAAAATCTGCACAGATTATCTCATCACGTGCAAGACTTCACGTGGGAAAGAACTCTGCTATCACCACTTCAGGATAAATGTTCTGATTTTGAGAGGAAGTCCGCAAAAGATGCGTGTGTAGGATAGAAACATGAAAAATCTAGAGGGGCATCTAAATATGTGCTGATTGTTACAGTTACCCAATTGTGGAAGTCAGAAATACCCAGTTTGTGCAGCAGCATTAATGCAGTGGTAAGAGGAGGCTCTTTAGCTCCACAGAGATGTTATAAATCCAGCTGAACGTTACTGAACAGTGGAAGGGTTGTGATTCCAGCTTTATATGTGGGAATGCTCAGACAAAGAATGAACTGCCTGTATGGGAGTGACAGTGCTTTCTGCCAGATATGCCCACGCAGGGGCTGACACAAGGTTTGTGCAGTCCACAGGCCTTTCCAGTAAAGGCTATACAGAAACTTGAGTTGATTCAAAACACAGTTGTTAGTCACAGGTGACACAGTCAGGGAGAGGGTGTTAGATACCCTTCACTGTCTCCCTGTTCTGCTGTGTGTATCCTTCAGTATCCTGATGCTAAACTGCAGAGGGGCAAGTTGGCAGTGGCTGAGCTGTTGTGACACTTTTCATACATCATGACTTTATCAGTATTGTTAACAAATACTGTCGTTTAGCTTAAATAAGTTTTAAATTGAACGAATCAGTCGTTTAGCATTAGAATGCAGGAGTTGCAGCATAATGTGTGATTTGGTATACTGTCTGTTTAGCATTACTTACTTAGCATGAGTAGCTAGATTTGCTGAAACCTTAGGCCACAAGCTGTGAATTTTCATGTAGGTATGCTGAACTTTTACCTAGTTCAGCAAAAGAGGGCCTCCAGAGCCAGCGCAAACCAGAAGATAAGGAGGCTGCAATCATCAGCAGAAGCTGCAACTTGACAAGAACAGTTAACGGCCTGTCTGGAGACAGAGAAGGAATCCAATAAGGTGTTAAAAAGATCCCAGACCAGAAATCGCCACTGGACTGAAAGGCTCACGATGAGCACGTGAGGGGCGGGTGCGTAGATTGGAAGGGTATAATTGCCCAGGGATTTCTTTGTTCAGGGTCCCTCTTTGGGCCGACCCAGATTGAGCTGTTACTACTGTTGTAGCACTCAAATTTTTATTTTTATTTTTTTTAATGGAATCTAAGACTGCTGTGGAGAAACCTAGTATCCAAACTGTGAAGGTAGTAGCGTCCAAATGAGTGTGTGAGTGTCCAGGACTTAGTTGGGGTGCCCGTCAGTTCGCTGGAGCCACCCTCTGTGAAGGGACTTGGGTTCCGGCAGTGAAGTCTCAGGTGGTGTGAACGTGTCTCCCTGGGACTGAACTGAACGCCTGGACGGTGCAAATTATCTTTAAAAGTACAAAGGAGTGCTGAAGCCAATACAGGCTAGAATGAAACGGAGTAAGTTTGGTTTAGTTTTCTCAAAAAGCGTACAAAGCTGTGTCTTTGCATGATTCTTCCCTTAATAACAAGATAGGATGGTTAGTTGTGTTCTCTCCAGAGTCTGGGCAAGAACAGCGTTGGCTTTAATGCCTGTTAATGTTAATAACTGTACACTGACATTGGTTAAATTGAGATTTTAACAGATTTATGTTAGACTCAAATATTATAGTGGTGAAAAAACTTCAGAGTAAGGATCCTGATTACTGGCATGAGTGCAAGCCTCCTGTACAGATGTTTTTTTGAGATTTTTTTTGGTAGCTTTCTCTTTGGAGACAATTGCTGCTATTCACAGTTATCTCTAGCTGTCTAACACTGCAGAACTCCTGGATCTTTGGCCTATTTTCTGCAATTTTGGTGCTGATTCCCATGTTTTGTTGTCTTGTGCTTGTATGTCACGTGAAGCAGCTGTAAAACCACATACTGAAAGAAGCTAGTAGAGTGAAGTGAGGAAAAGAATTTTATTTTTATATATATATATACACACACACACAAGGATGCACAGAGTATTGAATGTGCATCCTTCAGTTGGTTTCTGTCATCATTGACCCTTTATGAGTCAGCAGAGCAAGCCTGAGATCCAAGAACTATGGATGTGAGGGGAGAGGTGATGATCCTTGTTCTATGAAACCCATCTCTGATAGAATGAGACACTTTGCACCTCCCTGATTTACTAGGTACCTCTGCAAATTCACCTTGAAACAGTGATGCTGGAAGCTTCAGAAATAACTGTTGTGTTAGAGTCCTTTGTACTGGATTAATGGGATTGAAATTATCAGAATACTGGTGGCACTTTGTATTGCAATGAAATAGTACCAAATAGGTGCCCATTAATCCGTTCCCCTGTTCAATGTCAAGTTATTTAATACAAAATAATCTCCTTTTTTTTTTTTTTTTTGGTCTCATTAACTATTCTAACTTAATTGTGTTCTTCAGCTGCCTTTCAGGGACAGTCCAGAGCTGTGATTGTAACTCCAGCACCTTTAAAAAGAGAGGGGATTTTGACGCCAGCCACGTCTCAGTCTAATGTTGCAATTGCACCAGCTGGAATTGACAGAGTAAGGAGAAGAAAAAAAAAAAAAATTTGTTTTCTAGGCCTGTTATCTGCAAGTAATTAGAGCCCTAATGTGCTCAGGAGGGTAACTAGTCCTCTAAATCTCACCTGTTACCCAGCATATGCATTTGTGCATTCAGCATTATGTTTGCTTATTTTTAATCTAACAATTTTATGGGCCTACAAGCACTCCCTGGTCTTCACAGACTCTCACACAACAGCAAGATTACAGAGAGGCTTGTATACACAGTACTATGAATGGGGATGGTTTGTGCTTTTTCTTAATTGTGCAGAAGCTAGAAGGAACCCAGGATGCTCACCTTTCCATTTACCTATTGGAATGCAGTGAGTATACGAGTGGGTTTCCCAATATGTTGTATGCAGGAAGATGGAAATAGTTTTTAGTACATTATGCTGTTGATGTGTTGTAATACTGCTTTAAGTTATGAAGGGATACTGGTCTCCTGCCAGAAGTCTGACTTCAGTGCCTGCCAATTCCTTATATATTAGCCCGTGTTTCGTGTTGTCAGATTGTTAATCATGTATTAATTTGCTGCTTTTAGTGAAAGGCAAGGTAACAAATCTCTCTCTCTCTCTCTCTCTCTCTCTCTTTTCCCCCCCCACCTTCTCTCATCCCTTCTCTCCCTCTGCCCCCATTCCCCCCTTCCTGCTCATTTTCTCTGTTTTTCTCTGTGCTGTTTCTATGCTGTTCCCAGGCTCCCAGGGTGACGGAGTTCCGTAGTAACATTCTGGTTGGTCCAGCACAGCGAGCACCAAGTAGTCAACAAACCCAGCCCACAGTCTCACATCTCTTCTCTCCTAGTGTAGTCCAGGATGTGTTGGTGAAAGGAGAGCAGATCCCTTCCCACAGTAGCAGTTCACAAGTTCCCTCACCTACACCTAGTAAGTTAGAAAGCTGTAAGCATTCTCTCTCCCCTACACATGTAAGTGTGTTTCCATCAGTTAGGCAGGGTGTAAATGGGCCTCGAGGGTCCCTGGATAAATTTTGAAGGAAAAGCTTTTTAGGCCCTTCTATCCTGCCGCTTCAGTTGCATCCAATTGTTTGCAAGTTTTGTCTTAAACTACTGTGCAGCGTTCCCACAAACTGCAATTTTGTGTTTCCTTTAAGTGTCTCCTTTCTAAAAGGGATGTACTGTCGTAGTCGCCAGGAAATTAAACCTGTTTGAAAAGCATCTGTGTAGAAAGTGCTGAATAGGTTTGTTGTTCGTAACTGTAATTTTGATTGGAGGATCTCGGACACAATCCTTGTTAACAGTAGGTAAGTTCAAAGACTACTTTTGCATGTGTGTTGATAGAGAGGTATCTGGGCCAGTTTGAGAGACATATGCTGGTTCTGCTGGTAAATGGCTTCTAAGTGTCACGGTCCTGTCCCAGGCCATTAGAGCCTCAAATGGAGGAGTCTGACAGGACTATGCATTCAACGTGTCTTTGCTGAACTGTGTGTGTGTGGTGGAAGTATTACATACCGCTATTGAGGATGTGTTAGCCTTGTGCCATGAAATACTAAGCTTTCCCAGCAATCTTGATACTTTCTAGCATGTGGTTGCTGCATCAATGGGTATAATTTGGTTGCTGACTGCATTTCAGTTCAATTCTGAATAGAAGCTTCTCAGCAGTTACATTTGCTACAGAAAGTTGTTTGTTAATGTGATTTGTCTTTCTTCCTTTATGAAGGCCGAGACTGTCAGAATTCAGGCCAAGCTTCCCCCTGCACCTCTGAGCAGAGCCCCAGTCCACAGTCTCCCCAGAACAGCAGCTCAGGAAAACCTGCCACTGACCCTAATATGGCTGCACTTAAGGTGTGTGTCCTTTCCTTTGAGGTGCTTTTCTTTGCCTTTGTAGCTACCTTTCTGCCCTGATGTCTGAGCATGGACTAGAGAGTAAGTTGTGCTTCAGGAACAGTGGAGTATTTGTGCCTCAGGCTTAGCTTCTGCTGCATCTGTTCAATTAAAAATGTCAGACTTCATTAATCTACTCTGCTTCTCAGGGATATGTCACCAGAGGGGTCAGGCTTAACTGTACTTCTGCAGGTCCTTATGACAGCAGTTCCTGCTGTGGCTCACAGGAGTGTTATGACTGGTCTCAGTTTACTTGGTCAAAGGTTTCAGGCTTAGTTTTCTAAACCATGGCTTTTTGCCATTGTTCTGTTGGGGCTCTTCAGTCTGCAGGGCTCTGGCCATCGCTGGAGGGCGAGTTCTTGACCTGCTGAGTTACTTACATGTCTCCAGTGATGCTGTGCTGCTCCACAGAGAGGCAGCTCCACAGACTCTACAAGTTACAGCTGTAAAACACTTCAAGAATTATTGGGGTAAGAACTTGGCAGTCTAGAGATAGCATCTGAAAGCTGGCTGTACCTCATATACAAGCTGACCTTGTCAGAACACTTTCTGTGATGGTATGAGAAACTTGTCCACAGAAAGCAAGCAATGCAGGGCAATCGGCTGTAACCCTCTCATTCATTCTCTTGTGAAAGAGAGTGTTACTTAACTATTTTGCAAGTGCCAAGCCCTTTTTGGCTTCTTTGTCTTTATATACCCTATGAGTCGATGTCAGCTTGATTACTCCCAGGGCAGAAAGGTAAGTTAAGCACTTGCAGCCTGTGATTTCACTCTGTTCTAGTTTTGTTGCAGAGGAGAATTGGAACTACCCCTTGCAGAGCATACTCATAAAAGTTTGCAGTTATTTGTTTGGCATAAATGCTCACAATCAGTGTTTGCAGCCTGTTCTTGCTGCTAGAGAGCAAGTTAACAAAGGAACAAATTATTAGGACTGGCCAGTGGTGGGAAAGTGGCCACTAGATGGAGGAGTGTTCTTAAAAGCAAAGACACTGCCATGAGCTAGGCTTTAGAGCCGTTTAAACTCACCTGCTTTGACAGGAATTGCTTTGGATGTGTACTGTTAGTAACTTTTTAAAGACAAGAATCAGTGATGTTTGCCAGTCTGTAGATGTATGTTCTTTTGCTCCTCTGCATCGTTAGACTAAACAATTCTGTATTGCTGGATAACATTGTTTTTTCAGTTTGAGGGCACTGGGAATCTCAGTTCTGCTCTTGAACCTGCATTTTCTGTGGTTTTGGGCAGCTGCTTCACTGCTTTATTACATTATTTCCCTCCATTATAAAATGGGGTGGTGGTGAGCTACTGCTGGAAAGCCTAGCTCTGCTGAGAATGCCTTTACAAAGTGCAAACTCCTTAATTTCTTACAAGGATTTGGGTGGGAGTGACTACTGTTTTTAATGCTACAAATGAAATTGTTAATTCCTGACAAAGCCTTTATCCTCAGGATAGGCCAGAGTTTTTATTTCTTTTTTATTTTTGTCAGGCTGCCTGTTTACATCAGTAGACATTATGTATGTATTAGATGTAAATGAATATGGACTGTTTTAAACTTAAAGGCTTCAACAGGATTTTAATTAATTACATGCCTCAAAAACTGGAATTTGATTTCAGACAAGGAAATTGTGTGACAGCCTTAAATAGGAATTTTTACTTGAGGAAGAAAACCTTACAAGGTTTGGACTTGAATTTAATACATTGGACACTTCTTTTTAATAACTTAAATAATTGTTTGCAAGTTTATAGTCTTGTGGTTTTGACCGGGAAGACTATAAATGCCACAGTTCAACAGAAATGGCACTGTGAATTTGAATAGTTGAAATAGTCATAGCAGTAAAACGGTATAGGAGAACAGCATAGACTGAGCTAATTTTATTTATGCAGAATCGAAGAATGAAGCATATTTCAGAACAAAAACGAAGGTCTAATATCAAGATTGGTTTCAGTGCTCTGAACAGCTTGGTTTCAGGCAACTCCAAGTCGGTAAGTAACTTGGCAGCACTGTTTAATATGGAATAGAAGAAAGAGCCATTCTAAAAAGACTTGTTAATAAAATTTAATCTCTTCACTGTTGACTAAGAATGCCAGTCAGACAGTGAAGATACTTGAACTGAGGGACTTGGAAAGGGAAGCGTGATAAATCCATGGCTTAGAGTCAAAAGTGTGTGTGGGAGTGCTTCATCTTTTAGACACTGTTCTTCTGATGCTGCTTCAAATGTTGAACAAGCCTTGTCTGATAAGGTGCTGCAGCTTTAAAGCCAACAGGGAAAGAAGAAAAACTGATCTTTGCAATTCTTTCTCTTGGGGCCCCAGTAGATTTTAGTCATCTTTGCAGCATAAGATGACTTTACATTAACTATTATGTCACCTTTCTTCTGACATACTGGCTTTTTATACCCATTCTGGATGGGTTCTGGTCCCCATAGCTGGGCTTAGAAAAAACTATGGTCCAGCCAGTATTGTAAGCTTATTCTGCCTGAACCATGAGCCAGACAGAAGCCAGGTACATGCTGTTGGTACAAGGCTGGGCCTGGCTTAGTATACCTTGACACTTGGCCTGAGCTAATATACCCACCTGTGAGCACAACTTATAGAATCATTCAGGTTGGAAAAGCTCCTTGGGATCATCGAGTCCAACCCTCAGCCCGACTCTACAAAGTTCTCCCCTTCCCCACATCCCCCAAACGACCCTTAAACACCCCCAGGGATGGGGACTCCCCCCCTGTCCCTGGGCAGCCTGTTCCACTCTCTGACCACTCTTCCTGTGAAATATTTTTTCCTAATGTCCAGTCTGACCCTCCCCTGTTGGAGTTTAAAGCTGTTCCCCGTTGTTCTGTCACTAATTACCTGTGAGAAGAGACCAGCACCAACCTCTTTGCACCATCCTTTCAGGTAGTTGTAGAGAGTGATGAGGTCTCCCTTCAGCCTTCTCAAACATGTTAGCTTAGACTTCATGCTGTGCTAACCGTAGCTGCACTGTGTTGGGTCACCTGAGAGCAGGGCAGAGCAACCTTGTGCACCTGCAAGTACTATTGAAACAGATCAGTGAGCCAAAGGAAGGGCAAAAACATTCAGTGAAATTTTTAGAAGTTTCTATACCGATGAGATCTCTACCTCCCAGGAGGAGTCAGGAGCCTGGCCAATTCAAATGATTTTGAAAATCCCTCTAGTATCACCCAGCTGCCTTTAAGAATTTGGCCCTGTTCCCACAGCCTCGCAAACACTCACAGGACTTCTTTTATCCCCGTCACCTGCCTTTTGTGCATAGATTTACAGAGAAAAAAAATTCCCAACTGACTTCTCATTGTTAAATGACTTTGTCCAAGTTAAAAACATATTCTGGCTACACTAGTTAACTTAGTTCACTAAATTGAAATCAAAATAATTGAGACACAGAATTGTCTGCACAACAAAATTCAAAGCGTCCTTTAAATACCAGTACCTTTTGAAACATGGAAAATACGAAAGTTGATTGGGCAGCATTTGTTTATTTTTATAGTGTTATACATTTAGGCCATAAATAGTCAGAATTTCACTTCATGGTATGAATAGCCTGTTTGAAAGGTAATCAGTTTTGAAAACTTTAGTGAAATGTCTGATTATTTTATTTCTCAAGGACAGATTTTTAATTTATTCCTCAAAGCCAAAGAACATTTTTTAAAAAGATCTGTGACAATTTTTCTGTCTCCTTTGCTCATAGCTAGACCATGTTACCTTCTGTTTAATAACTTCAGGTTTCCCAGACTAAATATATTGTCAACTTCAAACAATGCTTCTAACAGCATTATAAATCTATCAACAGATGTACATCCTTCTGTACTTAAGAATTGTAAATCTTTTTAAGAAGATAGATAATGAAATATATTATTAAAATATTTCTTTTAACGAAGTGGCAAAAATGTAATCTATGAAAAAAAAACAAAACAAAACAACCAACCAACCATTGCAACCACATTTCTCTGTACTAATGTGCAAACAAGAGTTGGAGAAATGAAGAGTTCAGTATTATCTTTAAGTGTTTCGCTCTGCCTAGCTGTGCTTTTGCACACAAGGAAGGAAACAAGAAAAGGTGCTCAAGTGATTTTCTGTATGTTAAAACAGGTTAGGGGCAAACTCTTCATCTGTCTAGCTTTGTTCCAGAAAGTGAGCTCTGTGTTTTGTGTTTGGTCTAGATCAGCCATGCAATCACACTCCGGAAAACAGTAGAATATATCGCTAAACTACAGCAGGAAAGAACACAGATGCAAGAGGAAACCAAACGCCTTCGGGAAGAAATCGAGGAGCTAAACGCTGCCATCATGTGAGATTTGGGGAGCTTTCTGTAACGAAGCAGAGCAGCTTGAATGTTGCCTTGGCTAACAGTAGGGAATGTTTGCCTCGGAGGTCATGCCAAACAACAGATGGGTATTGAATAGAAGTAGAGTTGCTACCAACTTCCAAACAAAAAGTGTAGTTGCTGTGGGATGGGCATTGGTAGCAAACCGTGTGGATTTTCAGCAAGCTCTGAGCATGAGTGCATAGCACTGGCAGCATCAGAAAGGATGCATCAGGTCAGTCAGAATAATTCTGAGAAACCAGTGATGTTGCTTTTATAATCTGTGCTCACTAGGTGATCAAAGACTCTTACTCCTCATGATGGCTTTGCTGCAGTTTTCTTTCCAAATGCAGTCAGTTTTCATAGGAAAACATGGTTGAGTACATAATACACAGGACTTGGGATCAAGGAGCTTGCCACTGGCTGAACATAAGTCACTTCACCTTCCTGGTGCCTCAGGTTCCTCTGTGGGTTTATGGTAGTTATGTCCTGTTGCAAAGCACGTTCAGAACCCGGGTGGTTTTTCTTCCACCTACAGAAGTGGTAGGTTTAGGCGTTATGTTAGACTTAAACAGCTCATGAAAATATTTTGATTTTTCTTCAAAAGTATGATGATGCCTATTTGGGTCTATTTTAAATTGATTCTTAAGAATCTCTGTAACATTTTCTTCTGTAACATTGCTCAGGAGTAACTCTAAATTTTTCTTTGACTCCTAATGTGCCTTTTTCTAATTGGATGCCAAACCCAACTTTGTTCTATGTTATACTTTGGTTTTATTTTTGTTGCTTGTAGCAAGTGTGTAGCAGCTTGAGAAATTGCTTTGCTGTGTGAATATAGACAAAATTCATGGGAAGACATTCTGTATTTCTGGCTGTAACAATTACATTTTTGGGGGGAGTCATGCACTGGGCAGCCACCTTGGTCAGGGATACTGGGGATACACACTTCTCTCTTGCTATTATTTAGTCTGGAAGGGAAGTGTGTCCTTTTTCTGGTGGAGATTCTGACCTCAGAACATCTTCTTTTCAGATCTTGTCAACAGCAGCTCCCTGCTACTGGGGTTCCCATAACATGGCAAGGATTTGACCACATGAGGAAGATGTTTGATGAATATGTGAGAAGCAGGACCCTGGAGAACTGGAAGTTTTGGATTGTATCCTTTGATATTAACCTGCTGACTTGAGGTTTGGTGCTAGTATGTTTAGAGCCAAAAACTCTGGATTCTGATACTGTGTCTTTAAGGCAAGTTATTTAAATAACCTATGTCTTCAGTTTTCATTTACACTTGTATGTGAACTGGTTCACCTTAAAGCATGGGAAGTAACTTGAAAGTAAAATGCAATATAAAGGCCAAGTTTTCTTGGTGGGTTATTACACTGCAAGAAATGTTTAATGGGCTGCTTCTTTAAGTGTAGCTCTCGGAGTCTTTTGGAAAAACTGAACAGAGAATAAGAAAGACTTTGGGGAAAAAAATTATTACAAACAGTTATTGAAGTTGTTGCAACGGTAGCTTTAAAAATTTGCATTTTTTTTTCTTTAGTTTTCTGTCTTGTTACAACACTGAATCAACTTAGTTTCTCTTCTTTGCTTCCCTCAGTTTCTCTTCTTTGCTTCCCTCAGTTTCTCTTGTTTGCTTCCCTCAGTTTCTTGTTGCTAGCAGCTGTGCTTATAAGCAAATGATAATGCAGGAGGTAGAAGGACCCAGACTGAATAAAACGAAGTTAGCTGGATCTCTGCTGTGCTGTATAGACGTAATTAGTTTGGATCAAACTTTATTAGCTTGTATCAGTTCAGGGATATTAGTAATTAGCAATGAGCAGTAGTGTTAATCCTCCCTTTTCCCATTAGACTTCATATGTTTATATAGCTATTTATTTGCACTTTATATTTTGTATGTCTGTGTTCTGTGCTGGTTATTTCCCTCTAACTACCTGGATAATATGAGTATATATGTGTATGCTTCTGCATGCATGAAGTACAGCATTTTTAATACTTTGATACGTGAAAATGCTTTCTTTGGTGTTTCCTGGTTTATGTTGGCCCTAGAAAGCCACTCTTCCTCTTAGCATCCTTTTAGGAAACAATTCTTAGCAAGGTCACATGCAGTCTCTGATAACTTAGAGCTGGTGCAGCTGTGGAACCTCTGGATTCTACAGCACTATTAACTCAGGTGAATTACGAAAATAGAGCTCTTTTATATATAACAGTGAAAAAGGTTATTTAAAGACAATCCCACACATGTTTGCTGTTTGGATAGTGTGATTATTTTATGCTGCTTCAAGATACTAAATAGTTACAGAAGTTGGAAATGAGACACTTCTAGAAAGTGGCAGAGGTTGTCAGGGATGAAGATACACTTTTGGGTAGCTGGATTTTTTAGTATTTGGGGAAAGTCAAAGGCTTTTGTAGTTGGTGAAACAGGAGGTTGCTAGGCGAGGTAACGTTCCCAAAGTCCCCGTTACAAGTCAGGGTGTAACTGTGATGGAACAGTTGTTTTAACAGCTGGATTGAATCCTTAATGCACGCCGACGTATTTCAGAATGTCTTGCTGTAAAAGCTGACAAGGTTCAGGGGTGAATGCTAATAATAATAATAAAAAATCTCCTCCTCATGAAATGACTGTAAGCGAGTGAAGGGCACTTTCATGACCAATATGAAAATACCATAGTTTCTGTTGCATATAGGAGGGAAATGAGTAATCTGGTCCTGGGCTACTGGAGATAACCCAAGAATAGAATACTCTTAAATATTAGTATACTGGTAGAATAATACCCATGTTGTTCTTCCAGTCACTCTGTAGAAGTCTGTAAGTGCCTGAAAATCCCCTCAAGTATTCCAGGCAACTGTTAGACCTATCTTGATTGTCAGCCACAGTGAGAAAGATGGGGGTGCATGAACTCCTCCTCTGTTGTCTCCCTTAACATTTGATGATTTGCAGTTCAGCATTATTATTAAGCCATTGTTTGAGTCCTTCAATGGGATGGTTTCCACAACAAGCTTGAAGGATCTGAATCAAACTGCTGTGGCCTGGTTGGATCAGCACTGTTCTCTTCCTGTTCTGAGGCCAAGTAAGTGAAGTTCTATCCAGCAGTTATTTCAGATCATAGAAAGGGACACCATTTGTAATACCATTTCTTAAAAGTCAGAGGATGACAGAGAAAATACATGATGCTGAATTTAACTTCCAGTTCCTTTTTATTATCTCAGTGGAAAAATAAGAACCTCTTTTGACCGTGAAGACACTTGGTTGCATGCATAACACTGAACAGAAAAGAAACCCCGAATTGCTGAATATAGATACCGAAATTTAAACAGTCTCAAGCTGCATTTAAGTTTCGAATACTCCACTCTAGTTGGAGTAAGTTGTGTGATTTATCTCATTATGAAGGAGGACGTCTGAGAGTTGTGTTGAGCTTTGGAATGACCTTCTCTTTGGGCATGATTGCTTGAGCCTTTCCCCCTTGCGATTCAGCAGGTATTTACAGTTACATTTGCCAAGTGGTGCTCTCTTTGTAGAAGAAATAGGTGTCTTTTTAAAATCCTAGATCTCCAGTCCTTGTTCCCTGGGCACAGTTCTCACACATCTCTGTATACTGCTGTCGCTGTGTATGGAGGTGTGTTTTATGTTTTGTGGAAGTATTTCCAGAATTCTTATCATGTGTCATAACCTTGCAGTACTTGCACACTATCCTACATGGACCTGTTTGCACTCAGACTAACAGCTTTTCTTGATTTTTTTTTTTTTTTCTGACTTTTTTTCATAGTGGTGCTGAACACCCTCCGGCATCTAAGTATAACCACCTCGATTCTGTCAGATCCATCACAACTGCCAGAGCAAGCCGCCGCGGCAGTTATCAAGATGAACAAGACAGCTGGCGAAACCTAACAACCAAAGACAATGAGTTGTTGATACAAGGGGTGGAGAACCTGCCAGGCCAGCAGCCTGGCCAGTCTCCTTTCAGTTGGTGCACTTTAGAAAGAATTCTCTCCATCACCTGAGATGTTGTTCAGGGCATCTGGCTCTGCCTTCAGAATACGTGGAAGTACGACGCAACGTTGTCATAATGTTTTGATTCCTCTTCAGTGCTGTGCTGTACTCCGTTCAGTGAGAAAACACCAAGCTCAGGTAAATTTAGCAGGCTTGAGTCCTGCAGGCAGCAATATATCTCCATCAATGCAGCATGCATCTATATGCAACAAACATATTTCTACGAAACAGCTTCAAGTACTAAGTTCTCTGAAGTGTAAATCTTGTACACAAAGGAATGTTCTCTTCAAGGGGAAATATCCTTTTGATTTTGTGAAACAAAATGTGCTTTTTATTTTGTTCTCTGGTGTTCAGTTCCATACGTTTTACTTGAATAGTGAAAATTGTTAAACGGGATCGTATTAAAAACCAAAGGAGAAGAAAAAAAAAAATCCGTCAATGATGTCAACTTGTGGCAAAAATACTAGAATTAAAATCTCAGGCTGTGTTTTGTGTATTTTTATTTTAATGAGTGTATCATTTCATGTGATCAGTTTGAAGACATGCTTTATTTTCTAGCAAATAAAGCAGCTGATTTTTAGTATTTTTCCTGATATAGCCATTGCAGTTGAGTAGCGGACTGTGCAGTAGGTGCAAGAAAGCAGTTTTAGATTGCCTGGATTCTGCAATTAGGGTAGATACCTGAATTTCATGCCCATTTAATCTGTGAACTGTTTCCTTGCACTGCAGAGTTCAGCTGCCTTCCTCATAAAATGTGCACATATAAAACACATCCATAGATAAATGTAGTAGTGCTTCAGAGACAAGAATTGAGTTTGTAATGTTAAGAAATTGGCTTTTTTTGTTATCTCAGAAACTATAGCAAACCACATGAACTTGCAGACACTTCTTTTGCTTCTTTATCTTTTTTTGCTTGTTCTTTTTGCCTTCTATCTGAAAAACCTGAAGGATTTAGCTACACTTGCTGTGTATGGGAAGGCTGTGTTCAACATGAATTATAAAACATATAAGAATATGTTTAAAACATATGCAGAAAATACTGCATGACATTTCTGTCCATCCTGAGACAGCACTGGGATATTCATTCCTCCGGCTGATTGTTTGTAGTCTGGAACGATCCTGTGACCGTTGTAATTCCACTCATTACTTGATTCTGATTCTTAAGAGATTCTTAAGATTCTATGCAAGCTGTGGGTAATGTTCCCCTGGTACCTCTCCTGAGTAGTTTTCTTCCAGTTTAAAAGCAGGCTGCCCGGAGGTGACTGGTGGGCTGTCACAGTGCTAAAAAAGAGGAGCAGCTAAAACATTTGGGCATTGCACATGCTGAAGTGGGGTCAGTGGGTTCTCCTTCGGGGGATGTAGTTTTTCTCAGTTGTCCCCAGTCTTCTCCACTTGGTGGGCCAAAGTTTAAAAAGAAACAATAGGCTTGGGGGGGGTGGGACTAAGCACAGGGAGTGTTTTTCTTTCTTCTTTGTCCTGAGATTTTGCAGCTAATGGTTTTTTTATTGCAGAGTTCGTTTATGTGTGAGCAGGACTGTAGCAAGAAGAAAGCGTGAAAGGTTAACCCCAGGGCCCTCTCCCTGAGCAGAGGTAGTGTGAGCTGGGGAATTGGGAGGCTCTGAAGGGGACTGCCGGGGGGAAAAAGAACCTAAGGGGAGGTACCAACATGCCTTTCTGTAGCTGTGCAGACAAATAAGGAGATGCTCTTTTTTTTTTTTTTTTTAAACAATAGATCTGCCATTTGAAGTTTGTGGCACATCTGAAAACCTGTGACAGAACCAACAAAAATCCAGACCTCAGCTAAGGAATGGTTTGTTGGAATAGTGTATAAAGGTTGTCATAGGAATTGAATAGCGAGTAGATTTTTCAGGGGGGATCCGTATGTAGGTCTTTCGTACATAATGTCATCAATTAAGCAATATTCTTTAGGATGCATCTGGATGAAGCGTCGAGTGTAAATTCTGTTTTAAATCAGTGCTTTAAGTCCTCCCGTTTTTATCATTGATTGTCAACCTGATTCCAGTAAAGTCATTTAACACTGTGATTAGCTTGGGGAGCATCCCTCACGTTCGTTCTTTACTGGGCTATCTCATGGAGATCCATAGATAACTACATGCGTATTTGCATATTAAAAATATGTATCCGGTTTTCTAGAAAGAAATCAGTAGGCAAATTGTCCAAGAACAGACCCACTTGTGTTTTTGCTGTACTTTTCAGATGAACAGATTCTTTAATGCCTCCCATGCAGTGTGGTCTCCTGCTTGTCAGGCAGTGATTCTGTTTGATTTTTACCGTTATTAGTATCAATGACATTTAGAATTTTGTCTCTACAAGCATACTTCAAAGCCCTGGGAAGTCTTGACAACTTCCAAGCGTAAATCCTAACATCTCGGATCTCGCTAAATGGATTGGAAGCTGAAAGGGACCTCAAAGGGATAGGAAGGGGTAGTGTGACTGAACTGCTAAAAATTTTGTCCGTTAGCAGTTTTTATCTGGAAAAATCATCGTGCTCATTGCACCATGAGCTGGTTACAATTGGAGGGCAAGTGCTTATTTTAATAACTTGTGGAGAAACAAGCTCATGGCACTATTAAAAGACTTCAAATCTTAACATAGTAAAGAGAAAAAAATTAAAGATTGCTTACTTAGGCAAGAGTGTAGGAGGGAGGGAGGGAAGGAAAAGTGAAAAGATACTTCCCACGTAGTACAATTACCAGAAATGATGTGGCTGCTCTTTGAAGCAGTTATTCAGTGTATTTTTGTCACTCCATTATTGCAAATCAGAATTCTTTTCTTTATCAGTCAACCTTGTGAGCGGTGTGATTTCACTTCTTCATTTGGAAACACAGGAGGAAAAAGCTGTGTTATGTCTCACATCTGCACAGTAGAAGTACTGAGGATTGATATGAAAAGAGATTGACCACGTATGTATTAATTCCTGCACAGTTTTTCACTTTTGCTTTTGTTTGAACTCCTTTGTCTGTCTTACCCACTGAGGAGTCTAAATAATACCTTTCTTTTTCTAAAAAGGTTGGTAACACTTCCTCTCCTAATTTAAGTGGTCTGATTCCCTCAGTGTCACCAAAGTATGCTTAAGCAAGCAAAACACATGATGCCTATACTCTACAGAGAATTACAGATGATGCACGTGTGTCTTCAGTGAATTGGTGCTAAACTTTTAAAGAATCCCATGTAACTGAATCCACCTCACTCAGTCAAATCCAACATATTTCACTCAGTAAGGGAGTGGCTAGATAAAATATAAATTAAACTGAGATTGTCTGGTGGCTCTTTCTGACCTCAAATTCTATTTAGTATATTGTAGATGGTCCCCACCCCAAATACAAGTTCTGGAGAACTTGTGCATCATCTGGTATGGTTGTTAGGCTTGTTTTGATGCTGCCTGTTAGCAGGAGGGGTGAAAGTCCAGGAGCAGACTAGAATTGAAGGAATTAATGAGTACTAGGAACAGAGACAAGTGCATGCTTCATCTTGACAGTCTGATCTTTGCACAGAACCAAAGGATTATTAATTAATACCATTTGACCTGATTGGCATGTTCTTCCATGCTTTTCTAGACTCCTCGGGAAGCCTTTCTTGAAGGGAGACTTACTAGAATGTTCCCACCTGTGCCTTAGGTCTTGGTGTCCTGTATGCATTTATCTTACGTCATACGTTCTTCCTCCTAATACAGTGCTGTGTGGAAAATTCAGTGAATTGATAAAGTGGGGGCTTCCCTGGGTTTTAAGAGGGTTTTATCTGTGTGGCATTACTGCGTCTCTTTGAAACTGAGGTGGTGAAAAATGGTGTGTATGTATGGAAAAAATTGCGTCTTTCCTGCTGACTTCACCGTCCTCCACTCCCGTGTACACAAGCACATGTGCACACATGTACATACTGTTGTACCCAAAGTTCGACAGGAACCCACTAAATATGCAAATGCTTAAATCCCTAAATCTGAAATGGCTTGAAAAGACAAAGGGCTGTCAAACTGCATTGAAAAACAGCATCCCTTTGTATCTTCAGGTTGTTTTACATTCCCTTGAGAGTGTGTGTGTGTATGGTAGAGGTGACAGGGGCAGGTGAATTTTGTTTTGTTTGCTTTTGAAGCCCCAAACTCCTGAAAAACAGTTTGAGAGCAGTAGAGGGAAGCTCATAGGAAAAACACTCAGTAAGATAATGCTTTTGTAGCACAAATTATTTAAAAGCTATTTCACTTTCTGTGTTTCTGGAGTGGATAATTCTTGATATTGCCAACTAGAAGATACTGCGGAAAATAGAACGGGTTGTTAATTATTTTGGCCTTTTTCTTTCTTTCTTTCTTTCTTGTTTTGGCTCTTTTCCACCTTTCTTGCATGGAAAAACACCCCAAATCAAAAGGCTGATGATAGGTGCTTTAGGGATTCGGTCATACTGATCTTGGAGGACTATGGACATCTGTTGATGACTTCTAGGAGGTTTTTTGATTAAGTGAGATGACAGGAGTTTTCCTGTTACTCTTCTGCAATTTATACACTTGAGTTTCAGAGGAGATAATTTGTTTTGGTTTGTTTTCTGTTATAGAGCCCCAGTATTGTTCCTGCAACATCAGTTAAGGCCTCAAGTTTCCTTTTGTTTCATTCTTGGTTGGATTTCATGCTCATTTACTGTGTTAGAGCAGAAGTGGTAGTACTGAATTGTAGCTTGATCCGTCAAACTTGATTCAGTTACATAGAAACACATCTTAGGTATGTAATGGAATGACTTTCTAGCCATTGTGTGAACTGCTCTTATATCTGAACTTTTCCAACATGAACAGGGGTTTGAATCAAAAGAAAAGCCTTTTAATTAACAATACAATGAATGAATTGCTCTTTTTCTTCTTCTAACCTTGTATTTAAATGTGTTTTAAGTGAATGGAGTTCATTCTTGTTTAAAAAAAAAAAGAAAAAAAAAAAAAAGCTTGGAGGTATGAGGACTTCAGGTTGTGCTCTTGCTTTGCCTAGGTTTCCTGTTCTGTTGCATGACACAACTTCTGTTGTGCTGTTGATATGTAGCACTTTTCAGTAGGTCTGTTAAATTGTGCAATGCATTTTTTTTATATTTACAACCAAAACAATAAAGGTTATTTTTTGGAAGAAAACTGGTTGTAATGCCTTTATTTTTCTAACTGGATGTGGGGAAATGGTAAGTGGAATTGTTTTCTGGAGCAGGACCAGCACCTGCCATCCTTGTTGCAACTCTGAAAGGTGGCAAGGGCTCGTTTCCCTATTAGCACTGCTGAAGTTGCCCTTTCAGGGTCTGTGTGCTTGGCTTTCCCATGGAGAGGTTTATATCCTCTCTTGAGCTTCTGAAGCTTGGACTCCTTTTAAGACACTCGGTGCCCCTTGGGCCCTTCTTGACTGAAAGAATCAACTCACTCTGAGCTTACTTGGAGCTTACAAGTGATTTCTTTTTCTCATGCATTGGACAGGGGGCTGAATTTGCTCTGTGCTGGGTTGCTCCCTATCTCACTAGAGTAAATGTTAGCCAGATTAGCAAAAGTTGAAAATGACCCTCTGTGGTCAGCTCTGCTCCCCTTCGCTGAAGCAGCTTAGAGACTGGGAATGAACAGGTGGGGTAACAAGTACCATCTCCACAAGTCCAGGTGCCTGCAGAGCGTACAGCTAAATAAACGGTGAGCCTGCTCTTTCACATTTTGCATAACATAATTTTCCAAATGGGTCGACATTCTGATGTGTTTCTAAAGTGATCAGACCCTTACTGTTGTTAATCACATTAAGCATGACAGTGAGAACGTGCTCTTTTGACAAAACTAAGCAGACAAACATCTGTTTATTTCTGCACTTACTTCTAACAGGCTGGTAATTCAAAGGTAGCTCTGGTATTTCTCCAAGAGAGGTAAAACTCTTAAGCCTGTAGGAGCTGCATCAATGCCTTGATAGTTTTATTTTCTTATTACAGGCTTGGATTTGGGGCTCTTGGCTGACCTGGACAGTGGACTTCACAGAGCAGCGTTGAGACTGGATAACACAGTATTCCCATGGAACTGATGTCAGTGTTTAGGCA